TATCACAGTCAAATATACAGGATACGAACATTCCATTCCAACTAAACAATGGATATATAGCGTTGTGCAACAACAAAAACAAAAATGTTCATACACATCTAAAATCCAGAACAGTTATATTAAGCAATAATTTCTGATGAAAAAACACAAATGTGAAAAAAAAGAGTATATAGCGTTTTAGAGGCAGGGCCCCCCTCCACATACACACACCCACACAAACACAAACACGCACAAACACACACACACAGACACACACACACACACACACGCACACACAGGGAATGTTGTGTTTGTTTAATATTGTTTTAGGACTATGAAAATGGAAAAAAGGATTAGCCTATGGATTATGAATATAAATGGGAAAATGGGAGAGGAGAAATGACTAGAGACAGTGTAGTTTAACTCACTGATCATGACCCATGAGTTCTTCTTACCTTTGTTCACTAGAAAAGTCTCCCTCTCTAAACACTATAGGTTGATCCATAGACCGGTCACTCTTCATGGACACACAGCTGGGTACAGGAGAGGCTGGTCTCTCCTGCTTGATTGAGCTTCAACACAACAGAGACAAACATTCGATTGCTCATTTACTCTGAGCTCAGATTGGGAAACATAAGAAGAGTTTCATTCCAAAACACTATATATCCATTTTCAGAAATGATTGGTAAATTAGCTTTTATTTGTTAAATAAATTATTAAACCACTACAAGGCTTTATGAAGGCTTCTAAAGTGGGTAATTTACACTTAGAAATGTTGCCCTGATGAAAAATTGATCAACCCCTACAAAAAATGTCCCTTAATTATAATCCACATAATAATTGCTGTTGCTGCAGGATTCTTTTCCTGCTGTGAGAAACTGGGTCAAATTAAGATGTAATCTGTAAATGCATTCATCTTAAGGTAGCCAGGTGAGACAACCACATATCACAGTCAAATATACAGGATACGAACATTCCATTCCAACTAAACAATGGATATATAGCGTTGTGCAACAACAACAACAAAAATGTTCATACACATCTAAAATCCAGAACAGTTATATTAAGCAATAATTTCTGATGAAAAAACACAAATGTGAAAAAAAAGAGTATATAGCATTTTGGAATATAAATTCTTAAACAATATTGTCATCTCACCTCTTAGCTTTGGTGTCATGTTCCCCAGAGAGACTCATTTTAGAGGCAGGGCCTCCCCCCTCTCTCTCCCCAGAGAGACTCATTTTAGAGGCAGGGCTCCCCCCCCTCTCTCTCCCCAGAAAGACCCATTTTAGAGCACTGACCCCTAAACAGAGATGTAGCATGTTGGTTGTGGTTAACACAGTGTTAACTAATTATTGAATGTCTATTGTTGTATTTTATTCATTATCTCTTAGAAATAAAACGTTTACTAACAGCCACATCCAAACAGTCCGGTGATTTAATGCAATGACTTTTTGTAGCCCAAGGCTACTCAAAACTCGCCCACAAGGCCTGAAAACGAGCCCAAAAAAATAGCAACCTGATAGCCCTGATAGGCCTACATCTACTTTCAGATAGCCTACAGCAGCCTAGACAAGATGTAGGCTAGATGTAAAGTGAACGATTTAGCAGCTGGTTTAGTTCAAATTGTCAGATTAATTTATTTAACATGAATAGCAAGGCGATTTCAAGGTAAAAAGTGCTTCTGTTGCCCAGTAGCCTGCTGAGGATGGGGGTCGTAATTTCAATCACCTGAATCAAATATTAATAATATGGATATGAACTGAATAGGCCTATGCTAGCCTAATCTGACTGACTGTTACCGTCCGCCTAATGCATTCTAACATCTGATCAGCAATTGCGATAGAATTGTGACCATGGTCACGCTTGATAACTTGTTCAGAAATACTTAGAAATACTTACTTCATTTTTTACTTTTCTCCATATAGTGTTTTCTGCTCTGTCGTCTCAAAATGGATCCTGTACAAAATAACAATTCTACTTTCTGTTTCAGCTCAGCCTTCTCCCCACCCTGATAAAGTGTTTTATTGATATATTCCACTAGATGGCAGTAAACACCTGCTGTAACTAGACTTTACAACAGTGACCATGTTTACATGCACACCGCAATATCCCATTATCATTCCGATACTCAAGTATTCCGTTTTTGAGTTGAACCATATAAACATCATATCCCGTTTACAATAACCCAAAAAAGCTTGTATCCTGGTTATGAGAAACCAGGATAAGATGCCTGGAAAATGCTGATCTTAGACGGGATACTGTGGCATGTAAACATCTTATCCGTTTACTGTTGTTTTTCGAAGTGTACGCAGGCTGTTTCATTTATCTGTTGTGTGATGATGCTTTAATCTGATTGTCAAACAAATCACTTCAAAAAGTAGGCTACCTGTGCAGTTTGATCCACCATAATAATTCCGTAACTTATATATACCCTATGGTCATTTTAATGGGGTTGAACATCCATCCCATCAGATTGTGTAAAGGATTTTCAGAAAAACACTGACTTGGAAGCATCTGTCTGACCTCACCCTGCTGAAACACACTCAAGTAAAGACCACATAGCTACAGTTATATGCTTGTCTGTTCTTTCCCACTTTTACAGCCAATGTATGGACTGGTATCCAGGGTGAAGAGGTAGATTTAATGTTGAACAACAACACTGTAATGATGAGTTTGTGTTATGCCTATTACCAGCGTTGGTGCTCATGTTAATAATTTGACCGTGATACCATTCCCTTTTACGTTTTACTTTGTAAAAAGCTGTTACAGGACTGTTTTATTTACTATAACTCTGTTACTAATCACGTGTATTGTAAGGTCAACTAAAACATGTTATGTGTTGCAGTAGGCCTTTAGAATAATGCAAAACATATCCTTGACTCTATCAAAGTTGATGAGCAAGGGGAAACAAACTATGACCTGCACAGCCGGCCAATCAAACTACACCTAAACCTAAACTAATTTCACACATAATAAGAGTTAGCCTATAGACCAGATTACATTGACAATAGTCTGATGAGTGACAGTTTATCAGTTGTCAAACTGTACATGAAGAGATGGGTGCATCTTGTAATTGACAGATGCAGGGAAAGGAGCATCACTTTATCAAATCCTCCTTCAGAGTCACATGCAGGTAAAACTTTTTGATTTATATATAGTATCAGAAGGAACATATTTTGCAGTTTCCAAGAATAGCTGTGCTGTCCATATGTTCAGCACATGACCACTCCTGCGGCAGCATTGCTCTGGATACTAAGCAAAGACTAGTAACATAATACATGTAAAACTTGCTATTCTGTTTCCTTTTAAATACATTTTCTTATTTCCTAAATGTTTTTTTAGACCTGCCTAAACTAAATTATAATGGACTTCATTTTAATGGACTTGAACTAGTGGTTTTTCGTTTTTACTTATAGCCTAGAGTAACAAACTAATGAACATGTCTTACTTATAGCCTAGAGTAACAAACTAATGGAAATGTCTTACTTATAGCCTAGAGTAACATAAACTAATGGAAATGTCTTACTTATAGCCTAGAGTAACATAAACTAATGAACATGTCTTACTTATAGCCTAGAGTAACATAAACTAATGAACATGTCTTACTTATAGCCTAGAGTAACATAAACTAATGAACATGTCTTACTTATAGCCTAGAGTAACATAAACTAATGAACATGTCTTACTTATAGCCTAGAGTAACATAAACTAATGAACATGTCTTACTTATAGCCTAGAGTAACATAAACTAATGAACATGTCTTACTTATAGCCTAGAGTAACATAAACTAATGAACCCAACTTACTAATAGCCTAGAGTAACATAAACTGATGAAAATGCTATTATGTTCTTTGAAATACAAGTTTTTTAGTTTTCTAATGTTACCTAAGACCTTTATAAACACAACCAAAGTATTATTCTTCCGAAAGCATATATTAAATGTATTTATTAGACTGTTAAAATGTTGATGCATTATTGGCTGGAAGTGTTGAAAATTGGCTTTAGGCCTTCGTTTTTCACTAGGACTTTGTAGAATTATACAAAACATATCCTTTACTCTATCTAAACAAATAACTATCGTTGTTATATTTTTTCATGGATATATTTCCACAAATATTTCTTCATGCAATTAATCCTTTTACAATAGTTTATGCACTATTTATCAAGCCTTGGTTCTTATGTTTGACCACCTTGAGGGTTGATTTGCATCTGATACATATGCTAAATGGACTCCAGGAAACGTTCTCCATGTTCTCTAGTGGGTTCTTATAGGCTGAAAGGACAGGCGCTTCTAGTGTTAAGGAGCATGATATGTAACAAAATCAAATAAATATTATTTTAAAGGAGCAATAGTGTCTTGCAGCTTATGTGAGACAGAATAATAAGGCAAATCTAAATGGATAGTTTCCCCATGAAACATATAAAATGCTAATATTTGGGGATATTGACTTGGTTTTGACTATTGCCATCCTGTTTCTTTGATAAAAATGCTAAGAAGTTAGCATTTAGAGACTATGGCCAAGTAAACAAAACCAAAGCATGGATAGCTGTCTTGCCTTGTTCATAGACTGCTTACAGGGTAAAGGTGTCAGCATGCTTCAGTTTTCTGAACTCGTCTAGCCGCACTGAACGAGTGTGCATACTCCATTAAAAGACATTCACTTGAAAAACTAGACAAAAGCGGCAATAGTACTGTTTGTCCACTTTGAGACGCCGTAGCCAGTATACACTTCCTCAAAATAGTCAGAATTAATCTAAGATACTGTAACTCAAGAAATCTGTCATTAATTTTGAGATTTTTTCAGAGGAGATCTTAGTTGCGCAATTTTACATCTAACTAAGATTTTTGGTGCAGTATTTCTCAATGAATATTTTCCCGAACAGGCGAAGAAAACCTCACCGAAGTCCAAAACTAACAAAAATGTCACAAAATGTAATCATAATATATGCACAAGCTCTTCTGAACTGTTTCAGCTGGGAAGCATGTGGACGCCTTAAGGAAACCAAGTCATTTTGTAGTTTGGGTGAACTATCCCTTTAAAAGGTAAATCTCTGTATCAGAGTATCCATACAGACAATGTTAGTGAGTTTGTGTGTCCTCTTAATCAGTGACAGTGAAGTTATTGTGTTGGCGTCCATCAACTAGTGATATCTGTGTATCAGTGTTATACATGTGTATAGCTTGTTGTTGTTCACAGCCTCCTGCTCTCCAGCTGGAAGTCCACCTTCTGCTTCTGTTTCTCCATCATTGCCTCCAGCTCTGTGGATTTGCGGACATCCTAATAGAAATCGAGAAAGAAAGGAGGAAATACAGTCTGTTATGGAGCTAGTAGAGTTACTTAGCTAACGTTAGGGAGCTAGTAGAGTTACTTTGCTAACGTTAGGGAGCTAGTAGAGTTACTTTGCTAACGTTAGGGAGCTAGTAGAGTTACTTTGCTAACGTTAGGGAGCTAGTAGAGTTACTTTGCTAACGTTAGGGAGCTAGTAGAGTTACTTTGCTAATGTTAGGGAGCTAGTAGAGTTACTTTGCTAACGTTAGGGAGCTAGTAGAGTTACTTTGCTAATGTTAGGGAGCTAGTAGAGTTACTTTGCTAACGTTAGGGAGCTGGTAGAGTTACTTTGCTAACGTTAGCCTATGTTGTCTGTAGCAAAGTACAAGTCACTACTGGTTGGTGAAATTATGAAATGTGAGTGAACTACTCTGACTTTCAGTGAGACAGTATGTGATGTGATATTGTAGTGAACTCAGGGGGTAGTCCAGACTGGGACTCCAACCCAAGTCCAGCGACTGTCAAGCCAACACCTAGCGACCTCGTCAAGAGGTTTCGGACCTCTTGGTGTAACGGTCATTACCCCCTTCCTTCTGGAGAGTGTGTCCCCACGCTTCTCTTTACCAAGTCCCTCATGTGTACACGCGTCTCTGATGGAGACGCCTTCCTTGCGCCCCATTACACCAAGAGTTCCGAACCTCTTGACCAAGTTTTCTAGGTGTTGGGTTAAGGTCCCTACAATATATTGGTTAGATTCAGAACTGGAACATTACTCCCTTCACTCCCTTCATTCAATAAAACAGAAAGTCATTTTAACATAACTAACGTTTTAAACAACCTTGTCCATCCAACAATATATTGTATGAGATTCATGTGTCACTCACCACCTTCCGGAGACACTTGAAACCCCACCTCTTTAAGGAATACCTGGGATAGGATAAAAGTAATCCTTCTACCCTCCCCCCACCCCCCCCCCCCCCCCCCCCCCCCCCCCCCAACAAAATAATAATATATATATATATATTGTAAAGTGGTTGTCCCACTGGCTATCATAAGGTAAATGCACCAATTTGTAAGTTGCTCTGGATAAGAGCGTCTGCTAAATGACGAAAATGTAAATGTAATGTGTGCACACATCTAACACAAGTCCATCATTAGAAGTATTGCTGCATCTGCACCCAGAAACTCCCAGAGACTCCCTGTAGTCACACAGAATAGGGAAGAGGAGAGAGAGGGAGAGAAGGAGAGAGGGAAGAGGAGAGAGAGGGAGAGAAGGAGAGAGGGAAGAGGAGAGAGGGAGAGAAGGAGAGAGAGAAGAGGAGAGAGAGGGAGAGAAGGAGAGAGGGAAGAGGATGGGAACCAAGGATCTATCTATAATGTGAGAGTTGTGTCAACCAGAAGAGAAGGAAGACAGAGGGAGAGGAGAAATAAGAGTACTGAGGAAGTGATGTGTTTTGATACAACACTATAAGTCAGGAGATGTGATGAGAATAGGGTTGAATCGGGGAAAGAATGGGGTGAGAATGGGGTGAGAATGGTGCGTAAATCAGGTGAGAATGGGGTTGCCAGTCAATAGGGTTGCCAGTGAATGGGGTTGCCAGTCAATGGGGTTACCAGTCAATGGGGTTACCAGTCAATGGGGTTGCCAGTGTATGGGGTTACCAGTCAATGGGGCTTCAAGTCAATGGGGTTGCCAGTCAATGGGGTTGTCAGTCAATGTGGTTGCTAGTTAATGGGGTTGCCAATCAATAGGGTGGCCAGTCAATGGGGTTGCTTGTACCTCCAGTAAAGCCTTCTGCACCATCATCTGGCTGTACACTCTGGCACCCTCCTCTGGTGAAAACATACGCAGGTCCTCTTTACTCAGGGCAAAGAGCTCAGCACCAGTGAGTCTCCCCAGCAGTGTAACTGTCCTGAATGGAGAGAGAGATAGGGCAGAGTAAGGTGGTCAGAAGTGTTACTGTCCTGAATAGAGAGAGAGAGATAGGGCAGAGTAAGGTGGTCAGAAGTGTTACTGTCCTGAATAGAGAGAGAGAGATAGGGCAGAGTAAGGTGGTCAGAAGTGTTACTGTCCTGAATAGAGAGAGGGAGATAGGGCAGAGTAAGGTGGTCAGAAGTGTTACTGTCCTGAATAGAGAGAGAGAGATAGGGCAGAGTAAGGTGGTCAGAAGTGTTACTGTCCTGAATAGAGAGAGAGAGATAGGGCAGAGTAAGGTGGTCAGAAGTGTTACTGTCCTGAATAGAGAGAGAGAGATAGGGCAGAGTAAGGTGGTCAGAAGTGTTACTGTCCTGAATAGAGAGAGGGAGATAGGGCAGAGTAAGGTGGTCAGAAGTGTTACTGTCCTGAATAGAGAGAGAGAGATAGGGCAGAGTAAGGTGGTCAGAAGTGTTACTGTCCTGAATAGAGAGAGAGAGATAGGGCAGAGTAAGGTGGTCAGAAGTGTTACTTTCCTGAATAGAGAGAGAGAGATAGGGCAGAGTAAGGTGGTCAGAAGTGTTACTGTCCTGAATAGAGAGAGAGAGATAGGGCAGAGTAAGGTGGTCAGAAGTGTTACTGTCCTGAATAGAGAGAGAGATAGGGCAGAGTAAGGTGGTCAGAAGTGTTACTGTCCTGAATAGAGAGAGAGAGATAGGGCAGAGTAAGGTGGTCAGAAGTGTTACTGTCCTGAATAGAGAAAGAGAGATAGGGCAGAGTAAGGTGGTCAGAAGTGTTACTGTCCTGAATAGAGAGAGAGAGATAGGGCAGAGTAAGGTGGTCAGAAGTGTTACTGTCCTGAATAGAGAGAGAGAGATAGGGCAGAGTAAGGTGGTCAGAAGTGTTACTGTCCTGAATAGAGAGAGAGATAGGGCAGAGTAAGGTGGTCAGAAGTGTTACTGTCCTGAATAGAGAGAGAGAGATAGGGCAGAGTAAGGTGGTCAGAAGTGTTACTGTCCTGAATAGAGAGAGAGAGATAGGGCAGAGTAAGGTGGTCAGAAGTGTTACTGTCCTGAATAGAGAGAGAGAGATAGGGCCGAGTAAGGTGGTCAGAAGTGTTACTGTCCTGAATAGAGAGAGAGAGATAGGGCAGAGTAAGGTGGTCAGAAGTGTTACTGTCCTGAATAGAGAGAGAGATAGGGCAGAGTAAGGTGGTCAGAAGTGTTACTGTCCTGAATAGAGAGAGAGAGATAGGGCAGAGTAAGGTGGTCAGAAGTGTTACTGTCCTGAATAGAGAGAGAGAGATAGGGCAGAGTAAGGCAAGGTGGTCTTCATAATGGCCATGCTAGAAAGGATAGACATAAGTATAGTGTATATGAAGTATACTGTAGTTGACTGAACTAGCTCCACTACACCACTCACGGCTCAGTGAAGCCCTTCCCTCTCAGCCAGCCCTCTACCTCAGCAGGAGGGGACTGGTAGTCCAGGGGGGCCGAGGTGTCTGTGGTGCGGGGGATCACCAGGGGACGGATGGACCCCGCCCTGCTGTTGGCCAGCTGCTGGAGGAGCTCATCATTCACCATGAAGCCTGGGGTCACACAGGGGTCACACACACACACACACACACACACACACATTGACTACACAGCTTTAGGTTTAGGCATCACATTGACTACATTGACTTGGATTACACAGCTTTAGGGTTAGGCATTACATTGCCTTTACATTGTAGTCATTGAAGCCCTTTTATCCAGAGGGATCTAGAGTGGGTATATATTATCAGGATACAGTACATGCAGGTATAACACAACCACTAAACCTTTAGAAGTACCCAGACAGTCTGCAGTGCTATGAACAGAAAACACAGAGAGTGCCTGATAAGAGGAGTGCTAGTGTGGATCACAAATGGCACCCTATTCCCTTTATAGTGCACTATTTTTGGTATTGAATGGTAATAAAATGAGTAGTACACTATATAGGGAATAGGGTGCCATTGTGGACTATCCTGGTATGATTGTTAAAACGGCCACACATTCAGATTTAGTATTTCCCTATCCAACCCTAGTTTGTCCCTTTAGCTAGAATGTCTGACAGCTCATCATTCAATCACCCCTACGTTTCTACCCAATCAGAGATATTCTCTTCCACCTGCTAGTTGTAAGTCCCGCCTCCAGCCAGCGAGTTGTAGTGATGGAAAGTTTGGCTCTTTTTACTGACTCTGATCTTTTAGACTCATTCAGTCAAAAGAACAAATCTTTCGACTAATTTCGTTCATTTGAGTCAGTAATGCCCAAAGCATGCAGGAACCCCCTACCAGCGAACGATGAACTGAAAACTCAAAAGAGTAATGATTCTACAAGCCTCTCTCGTTCACATGTCATTCACCATAAGGGGCTCATTGGAGCTGTGTGACTGAGACATGTCAAAGGTTTAAACCATCTACATTTATTGACTGCCAGGCATACAAATAAAAACATTATTGATCCATTTGAAACAAGGTCTAGTTGTGGCTGCAACCAGACTAGATTGTGAACAACTCTTGGACTAGATTGTGAACTACTCTTGGCGGAATGCATTGCTTGACTGTCTTGAGGGTGATAAGCACAATGTGGTTCATAAACTGCAGCCCCCCAAAAGTTTTGGTTTGTTGAGCAGAGGCTGTATATGTTTTGGTTCTACAAAGCTGGGGGGGTGGTAGATCAGCTTAATATTGCAGATAGATTGCAACTTCCATCAATGTAATTTTCTGCATCACTTCCAATCCCCCATGTTTTTTATATATATACTCCCCTTTATTACTTTTCAACCCCGCCATCCTTTCCCTACTTGGGGTAAATTAGTGAACAACAATGCTTAGGCCTCTACTTCCAGCTTATACTTACTATCTACATTTTATGGACACAGTCAATTTTACAATAATTCTATTTTATTTGTTTTGCTCCTGAACTTCTTCTACTCTCAACCTCTCCGATCATTTTCATGATGTCCATCCGGTTTGCTTCTATATGCCATATCTTTCTAACTGTGCTCTTTCCCAAAAGCTCCCAACATACAACCTATATACTTATTATGGACACAGTATGCTTACATTATTAGTTATCTTGTTAATATTTGTTGTTATTTGTTATTAGTCCCATCCTTCAACTCCATTCAACACCTCCCATCTATCTCTTAACACCATCCATATAGGATTTCTATTTGCCATATATATTTCAACTGTACTGTGATGTTTTACAAAAGTTCTGAATCTTTCTATTCTCATTGCTTCTACAGATTGTGAATTAAAAATAAATAATTTTGCTAAAAGTATTATTATATTATTGATCGATTGACTATGACTTTTCAGATCACCCAGTAATGCTATCTGCAAGGTTAGCTCCAGGTAAATTTTGCAATCCTTTAGCCATTCCTGGACTTTTGTCCAAAAACAAGCTAGAAATGGACAGAACCAAAACAAATGATCTAATGATTCTGTCTCTTCACAGCAAAATCTGCAGAGCTGGGAAGATTGTATCCCCCATATAAATAACATTCTATTGTTAAAATAACTAATTGTTAGTGAACTGCACATCAATACTGAGTTGTGGTGGAGACAGAGAACAGTTTGTTATATCAGTTACATTATGTCTAGAAGACAGAGAACAGACAGTTTGTTATATCAGTTACATTATGTCTAGAAGACAGAGAACAGACAGTTTGTTATAGCAGTTACATTATGTCTAGAAGACAGAGAACAGACAGTTTGTTATAGCAGTTACATTATGTCTAGAAGACAGTCATATCTTTGTTATAGCAGTTACATTATGAAAAACAGCTTCTATCTCAAGGCCATCAGACTGTTAAATAGCCATCACTAGCACATTAGAGGCTGCTGCCTACTGAAATCACTGGCCACTTTAAGAAATGGAACACTAGTTACTTTAATAATGTTTACAGTCACTTTAATCATGTTTACATATCTTGCACTACTCATCTCATATGTATATACTGCATTCTATTCTATAATATTCTACTGTATCTTAGTCCATGCCGCTCTGTCATTGCTTGTCCATGTATATTTTCTTAAATTCCATTCCTTACTAGTTTTGTGTGTATTAGGTACAGTGAGGGAAAAAAGTATTTGATCCCCTGCTGATTTTGTACGTTTGCCCACCTACAAAGACATGATCAGTCTATAATTGTAATGGCATTTTAATGAGGGAAATAAGTATTTGACCCCTCTGCAAAACATGACTTAGTACTTGGTGGCAAAACCCTTGTTGGCAATCACAGAGGTCAGATGTTTCTTGTAGTTGGCCACCAGGTTTGCACACATCTCAGGAGGGATTTTGTCCCACTCCTCTTTGCAGATCTTCTCCAAGTCATTAAGGTTTCGAGGCTGACGTTCGGCAACTCGAACCTTCAGCTCCCTCCACAGATTTTCTATGGGATTAAGGTCTGGAGACTGGCTAGGCCACTCCAGGACCTTAATGTGCTTCTTCTTGAGCCACTCCTTCATTGCCTTGGCCGTGTGTTTTGGGTCATTGTCATGCTGGAATACCCATCCACGACCCATTTTCAATGCCCTGGCTGAGGGAAGGAGGTTCTCACCCAAGATTTGACGGTACATGGCCCCGTCCATCATCCCTTTGCGGTGAAGTTGTCCTGTCCCCTTAGCAGAAAAACACCCCCAAAGCATAATGTTTCCACCTACATGTTTGACGGTGGGGATGGTGTTCTTGGGGTCATAGGCAGCATTCCTCCTCCTCCAAACACGGCGAGTTGAGTTGATGCCAAAGAGCTCGATTTTGGTCTCATCTGACCACAACACTTTCACCCAGTTCTCCTCTGAATCATTCAGATGTTCATTGGTAAACTTCAGACGGCCCTGTATATGTGCTTTCTTGAGCAGGGGGACCTTGTGGGCGCTGCAGGATTTCAGTCCTTCACGGCCTAGTGAGTTACCAATTGTTTTCTTGGTGACTATGGTCCCAGCTGCCTTGAGATCGTTGACAAGATCCTCCAGTGTAGTTCTGGGCTGATTCCTCACCGTTCTCATGATCATTGCAACTCTACGAGGTGAGATCTTGCATGGAGCCCCAGGCCGAGGGAGATTGACTGTTCTTTTGTGTTTCTTCCAACTGTTGTCACCTTCTCACCAAGCTGCTTGGCGATGGTCTTGTAGCCCATTCCAGGCTTGTGTAGGTCTACAATCTTGTCCGTGACATCCTTGGAGAGCTCTTTGGTCTTGACCATGGTGGAGAGTTTGGAATCTGATTGATTGATTGCTTCTGTGGACAGGTATCTTTTATACAGGTAACAAACTGAGATTAGGAGCACTCCCTTTAAGAGTGTGCTCCTAATCTCAGCTCGTTACCTGTATAAAAGACACCTGGGAGCCAGAAACTTTTCTGATTGAGAGGGGGTCAAATACTTATTTCCCTCATTAAAATGCAAATCAATTTATAAAATTTTTGACATGCGTTTTTCTGGATATTTTTGTTGTTATTCTGTCTCTCACTGTTCAAATAAACCTACCATTAAAATTATAGACTGATCATTTCTTTGTCAGTGGGCAAACGTACAAAATCAGCAGGGGATCAAATACTTTTTTCCCTCACTGTATATGTTGTGAAATTGTTAGATATTATTTGTTAGATATTACTGCACTGTCGGAGCTAGAAGCACAAGCATTTCGCTACACCCGCTATAACATCTGCTAAACATGTGTATGTGACAAATACAATTTGATTTGATTTGATTTACATTATGCCTATAAGACAGTCATATCTTTGTTATAGCAGTTACATTCTATACAGAGTTAGTATTATACTGTACAGCCTCCTCACTACTGCAGTAGCTTATTAGTCATGTATAGCATGTTGAGTTGGGTTAGTGAGGCCTCTACTCTAAAGCTTATTAGTCACGTATAGCATGTTGAGTTGGGTTAGTGAGGGCTCTACTCTAAAGCTTATTAGTCATGTATAGCATGTTGAGATGGGTTAGTGAGTGCTTTACTCTAAAGCTTATTAGTCATGTATAGCATGTTGAGTTGGGTTAGTGAGGGCTCTACTCTGTAGCTTATTAGTCATGTATAGCATGTTGAGTTGGGTTAGTGAGGGCTCTACTCTAAAGCTTATTAGTCATGTATAGCATGTTGAGATGGGTTAGTGAGTGCTCTACTCTAAAGCTTATTAGTCATGTATAGCATGTTGAGATGGGTTAGTGAGTGCTCTACTCTAAAGCTTATTAGTCATGTATAGCATGTTGAGTTGGGTTAGTGAGGGCTCTACTCTAAAGCTTATTAGTCATGTATAGCATGTTGAGTTGGGTTAGTGAGGGCTCTACTCTGTAGCTTATTAGTCATGTATAGCATGTTGAGTTGGGTTAGTGAGGGCTCTACTCTAAAGCTTATTAGTCATGTATAGCATGTTGAGATGGGTTAGTGAGTGCTCTACTCTAAAGCTTATTAGTCATGTATAGCATGTTGAGTTGGGTTAGTGAGGGCTCTACTCTGTAGCTTATTAGTCATGTATAGCATGTTGAGTTGGGTTAGTGAGGGCTCTCACTCTGTCCACAATTGAGGGGTTTGTTGAGGAAGTTTCTCTCTGTGCGGTGGTCACCTGTACTTGCGGGCCACATTATAGTTTACAGTCTATGTGAGCACGCTAGAGTTGTTTTATTGTAGCAGTGTATACACTACAGCTTTATTCTGTGTTATTGTAACAGTGAATAGACTACAGCTTTATTCTGTATTATTGTAACAGTGAATAGACTACAACGTTATTCTGTGTTATTGTAATAGTGTATAGACTACAGCTTTATTCTGTTTTATTGTAATAGTGAATAGACTACAACTTTATTCTGTATTATTGTAACAGTGTATAGACTACATCTTTATTCTGCTGTTATTTATGTTATTCTATATAGCTTACTGTTCATCATTCAGTTAAGTCAAAGTCATCTTAGTATTGCATACTGTATAGTAATATATCTTAGTTGGATTATATTGTATGGATATTTCAGGTCTATCTGTGTATAGCCATACTCATTTTACATAGTATTGTGTTCTATAATATGTTCTCTATTTTCTACCCTTGTAGAACCACTACCTACAGTTATTCATTAAAGAACCATAACATATCTCCAGTGTGTTGGTTGATGGTGATGTGTGGACAAGTCAGTCAAGACAGTATCCACACTGCTCTAGTCAAGACAGCATCCATACTGCTTTAGTCAAGACAGCATCCATACTGCTCTAGCACGCAGCCTTGTGGCGATTCGGAACTCTGAAATAAATGGATTGATTGATTGATTTTGTTTTTTAAAAGCCTAAAGGCTTATTTCCATTGTGGTCCTCGGTGGAGCATTAACTAGATTCAGAGTGGTCCTAAACCAGGGAGCATAAACTAGGTTCAGAGTGGTCCTAAACCAGGGAGCATCAACTAGATTCAGAGTGGTCCTAAACCAGGGAACATCAACTAGATTCAGAGTTGTCCTAAACCAGGGAGCATTAACTAGGTTCAGAATGGTCCTAAACCAGGGAGCATTAACTAGATTCAGAGTGGTCCTAAACCAGGGAGCCTCAACTAGATTCAGAGTGGTCCTAAACCAGGGAGCCTCAACTAGATTCAGAGTGATCCTAAACCAGGGAGCATCAACTAGATTCAGAGTGGTCCTAAACCAGGGAGCATTAACTAGGTTCAGAATGGTCCTAAACCAGGGAGCATTAACTAGATTCAGAGTGGTCCTAAACCAGGGAGCATTAACTAGGTTCAGAATGGTCCTAAACCAGGGAGCATTAACTAGATTCAGAGTGGTCCTAAACCAGGGAGAATTAACTAGGTTCAGAATGGTCCTAAACCAGGGAGCATTAACTAGATTAAGAGTGGTCCTAAACCAGGGAGCATCAACTAGATTGTATTTTATGTCAAACAATAAAACATTAAATAATGTAAAAAAATTGAAGAAAACTTGGAGTGACAAATTGGGCCGTCAGCTGGGAAACCCTGTCATAATCTATTTACTTTTTATTCAACAGAGTGAGAGAGAGATGAAACGGACAGCGGAGGAGACCAGAGCTATGTATTTAGAGTGTCTGGGCAACTTTTTGAATTTTCAATATTGTTCTGATTCAAGACATTCAGTAAATATTCCTCATGTAATGTTAATGGGGAGCTAAAATGGCTGTCATAGAATGTTCTAGTGTCATGTAAATGCATCATAATGCAGAAACCTCAATGTCTTAACTCTCTAAATACATGGCTCTGGGAGGAGAGTGTGTCAAAGGGCAGAGGGAGGAATGTGTACCTATGCCGACAGCAGTAAATATGCATGTGACCTGGAGGTGGGTGGTGACGCTAACCACTACAGACCACCCAAACGACAGGCTTACCTTTGTCTCTGTCGCCCCCTGTCATGGTGGAGGGGAACATGCTTTGAGGACGGCGGGGCATGGCGGGGGGGTTTGCCCCTTCTGGGCTGAAAGGGGTGTAGGAGAAGTGCTTGGGAGGGGCGAAGGGCACCTTCTATCAAACAGAGACATGAACACACAGGGTAACTCGGATGAGTCGGTGAGTATGTGTCTATTATGCCCTGTTCAGATACAACAGCCGAGACAAGACAGTTTTATGCTGTTAGATTCTAAATAAACAGAGTAAAAACTCACGGATGACTGGTAAAGCTCAAACCAAGTTTATTGACCCACTGGGTCAACCAGCTGAAAGACAAAGACATGTTCCCACCAGCACAAGTATATATACCCCACTTTAGATGGAGTCTCCTCCTTTTCTCTAAACATTACATCTTTGTTGCTAGGCAGGAAGTTATGTGATGTGGGTAATAAACTATTCCTTCTCCCTTTATGTGACCTGACCTGACCTCGGCCCCCATTCCTCACTAATCCACAGCTATCCACCCTTATCAGTGACCACAACCATGTGATTCCCTTTTCCCTTACTTAGTAACTGTCCAAGCCCCTGGCTCTTATCCAACCTCCATTGACCCCACCATATACATTCCTCCTACATATAACCATTCACTTCTAGTGTATCAAGTATTTCAAATTACAACCCAACAACTGAAACCAGACTGTGGCCCTTCTCCTCTCTATAGGACACCTAATATCTAACAATAACATGTTCTGACAGAATGTAAACCTTCTGCCTTCTCCTCTCTCCCTCAGTAACATGAATAAGGATATTTCATATTTCAAGTTTAGAACCCATCAATGCCATTTTAGAACGAAATCAGCTTAAATCTACACATCCTAGTTTTAGAACGTCTCATGTCGGCTGCTGGAGTTTCCAAGATTCAACACATCAAATATTAGCTGAAGACGAAACGGATCCGTTTAGCCAATCAGAAAACAGTGTGCTGACATTCTGTGTTTAGCCAAGCAGCTAGCCAAGCAGACCACTAGCTAGCTAGCTGATATTTATCTGACAAGTGTGCCCTGTTGTGGGTGCATGTATTTCATGATACTTGTTTACTACAACAAGTGGGGACTTCATATCAAAGTTGTATCACATCATTGTAAAGAGGCACCGTTACTGTGGAAACAGTGTCAACCGTGTGTGTGTGTGTGTGTGTGTGTGTGTGTGTGTGTGTCCATTACCTTAGACTGTCTGAGTACCACTGGGCTATCCCTATGGTTGTTGTTGAGGGCAGACAGAGGCTCCAGAATGTTGAAGGGAACAAACCCAACCTGGTCAAAGCGATTGCGGCACTTCCACCAACGCTTTGATGACTCAATCACCTAAACAAGAGAGGATTTGAATTAGGATGTTTATTTATGACATGGAATTTTGATTAACTTGTTGTTATAAATAATGTGTTCCCTCTGTGTGTTCTTGCCAATGTAAGATATACTGAATCAAGCAAATAAAGCTCACTGAATGGAATTGATTTGTGAGATCTTTTAAGTAAGCAGGACAATTCAATACATGTGAACTTCTGTCAATTATAGTTGAGAGACACAAGTAGACCCTATGGGCTCTGGTCAAAGGTAGTGCACTATATAGGGAGTAGGGTCCCGTTTGGGACTCAGACAGTATTTAACATGCAGTTCACACAGTATTGTAGTGTTGTCATGTAATACAAATGTTCTAGAATAAAAACCTCCAGAGTTTCTCCCTGCAGTACGGAGAGTTCACTGCTGTTCCTGGCAACAAAGTCGTAGCTGCAGCTGAACATTCTCTCACCCTCAGGTGGAAGCTCACTGCCATCTCTGGAGGACAAACAGACAGTCCTAGGGTCAATCTCAATTATATCAGACAGTCCTAGGGTCAATCTCAATTATATCAGACAGTCCTAGGGTCAATCTCAATTATATCAGACAGTCCTAGGGTCAATCTCAATTATATCAGACAGTCCTAGGGTCAATCTCAGTTGTATCAGACAGTCCTAGGGTCAATCTCAATTATATCAGACAGTCCTAGGGTCAATCTCAGTTTTATCAGACAGTCTTAGGGTCAATCTCAGCTGTATCAGACAGTCCTAGGGTCAATCTCAGTTGTATCAGACAGTCCTAGGGTCAATCTCAGTTTTATCAGACAGTCTTAGGGTCAATCTCAGTTGTATCAGACAGTCCTAGGGTCAATCTCAGCTGTATCAGACAGTCCTAGGGTCTATCTCAGTTGTATCAGACAGTCTTAGGGTCAATCTCAGCTGTATCAGACAGTCTTAGGGTCAATCTCAGTTGTATCAGACAGTCTTAGGGTCAATCTCAGCTGTATCAGACAGTCCTAGGGTCTATCTCAGTTGTATCAGACAGTCTTAGGGTCAATCTCAGCTGTATCAGACAGTCTTAGGGTCAATCTCAGCTGTATCAGACAGTCCTAGGGTCTATCTCAGTTGTATCAGACAGTCCTAGGGTCAATCTCAGTTGTATCACACAGTCCTAGGGTCAATCTCAATTGTATCAAACAGTGCTATGGTCAATCTCAGTTGTATCAGACAGTCCTAGGGTCAATCTCATTTGTATCACACAGTCCTAGGCTCAATCTCAATTGTATTTCCTCGATTCTTCATATCCAATCTCCTCGCCAACTTCTCAGGCGTTTTGGAGGAGAAGGCTGACAGTCACTCCTCATAATGGATTTAAGCATTGGATTGGTCTAAGCATTGGCTGGAGGGAGTTTCCAACATTGGTAAATCCATGATGGGGAATGTGCACATGAAGAGAAGGGTGGAGATTAACGAAACCCCCATTTAACTGTGATCAGTTGGTGTTGCCTGTAATCTCTCACACACAGATGTTGTTTCTTTGTAATATTGATGGTGTTTTGAAAAACAGTAGGACTGTTCATTACAGCATGGAATAAAGAGTTAATAACATGGTAGTAATGGAAACTAGTTTTAAAGACTTACTGTTTTACTAAATTAATGATGTATTATTAATAATTATATATATATTATATATTAAATATATTAATAATATACAGGTAACAACTTTTAAAAAACACACTGTTTTATGTGCACAGGAAGTTCTTGGATTCAAGCTCAAAAGGTGAAAGGTGCCATAATCAGTGGGGAAACTGTGTTTGCCCATGTTGTGAACTGTATGAATCAGTAAACAAAAAGTATCACAGCAGTTATTGGGGATCTCAGAAACATACGATTCGTCAGCGTGCTGGACTGAGCTGGGGCCTTCCTCTGCCTGATCAGGATGGTCCTAAATTAGGGAAGGAATAAGAAGGAATAATCAAATCAATTAAAATCAAATCCATTAAAAATCGAATTAGGGTGACACACAGTTCCACTGGCCAACGTTCCAGTAAGTATACCCCTACACTGTCTTGAAGAGCGTCCTGTTTGTGCTGTGACTTGATTGGGTCCTCCCAAAGTTGACCTTCTGGGTCAAAGGCCTCAGGCTGCCATCCATCCAGAAAGACAGGTGAGTATGGAGGAACAGACTCAACAAGCTGGGAGCTGGGAGAGAGAGAGAGGCAAAAGGTCAATTCCTGCCTTGAGCCTTGTCTATGGATGACAATGTGCAAATGAAATACACACGAACATACAGATGCCGTATCTTCATTTGATAATCCTGTTGTTGTACGAATTTTCCTGCACGGCAGGAAATGCAAACTTGTAGCGTATTCAAAGTTTAAAAAGGCTTCTAAAGTTTGTATTTAACTTTAACATTTTAGACTTGATTTGCCCTTACGAAAAATATATCAACCTCTACAAAGAATGTCCATTAATTATAATCCACATAACAATTCACATTTCCTGTTGCTGCAGGATTCTTTTTCTACTGTGTGAAACCGGCTCAAATTAAGATACGGCACCTGTACAGCAATAAGCACAGACATACTAAAATGCAGTTCATACACATACACAAACACACACACGCGCATGGCATGCATACACACACACAGACACACGCATGCACACACACACGCACACGCACACACACACACACACACACACACACACACACACACACACACACACACACACACACACACACACACACACACACACACACACACACACACACACACACACACATACACCAGTTTCCCCTGTAGTTCAGTTGGTAGAGCATGGTGCTTGTCACACCATGATAGTGGGTTCGATTCCCAGGACCACCCATACGTATGATGTATGCACGCATGACTGTAAGTCGATTTTGATAAAAGTGTCTGCTAAATGGCATATATTATATAACATGATTATATTACCAGTGTAAGGTCCAGTTAGGCTCTAGCGAGGTCCAGAACATATATGATTCTATTACCAGTGTAAGGTCCAGTTAGGCCCTAGGGAGGTCCAGAACATATATGATTCTATTACCAGTGTAAGGTCCAGTTAGGCTCTAGCGAGGTCCAGAACATATATGATTCTATTACCAGTGTAAGGTCCAGTTAGGCCCTAGGGAGGTCCAGAACATATATGATTCTATTACCAGTGTAAGGTCCAGTTAGGCCCTAGGGAGGTCCAGAACATATATGATTCTATTACCAGTGTAAGGTCCAGTTAGGCCCTAGGGAGGTCCAGAACATATATGATTCTATTACCAGTGTAAGGTCCAGTTAGGCCCTAGGGAGGTCCAGAACATATATGATTCTATTACCAGTGTAAGGTCCAGTTAGGCCCTAGGGAGATCCAGAACATATATGATTCTATTACCAGTGTAAGGTCCAGTTAGGCCCTAGGGAGGTCCAGAACATATATGATTGATTCTATTACCAGTGTAAGGACCAGTTAGGCCCTAGCGAGGTCCAGAACATATATGATTCTATTACCAGTGTAAGGTCCAGTTAGGCCCTAGGGAGGTCCAGAACTCCTTCTCTTCATCAGTCAGGTGCTTCTGCAGTAGAGACACAGCACCACTGGTCAGGGCTGGACTGACCACAGTCGCCCCCAACTCTGGCCCACCAGTAGTCTTCACCATCTGAGACGAGAGAGAGAGAGACATGGATCGACATCATACTTAATACTGATGCATCCATCCCTCCTTCTGTCCACCTGTGACAGACAGAGAGAGACAGACAGAGAGAGACAGACAGACAGACAGACAGAGACAGACACAGACAGACACAGACAGACAGAGACAGAGAGAGACAGACAGACAGATAATCATACAGTACCACAGATAGAACAATGAGCCAGATATTTCACCGGATGTATAAATGTGAAGCATCCACTTGGCGTTTCCACTCACTACCAAATATGGTAGTGAGAGGAAGTCCAGTGGCCGGCAGTGGGAGAAGATGGAGCAAGATGGATTTTGGCCGACATTTCTGCACATTTTCTCATCACAGAAACATTTGATCTCAATACAGTTTCTGTTCCCAAAACTATAATTTGTTACGAACAGAGTGGACTAAGTTTTGTAGACTTTACCATTTGCCAAAGTTTCTAAAATATGCGTTGTTTAGAAGGAGTCCAAAGGTGGATTGAGTTATTACACATGCGCACTTCACAGAGTAGGCATTCTCTAATGGAATTATGCAAATACATGCTAGAATGCGCCGATAGGATCTCGCTAGCTCGTGCTAGGCTCTGCCACCTCCTTGCTTGTTCTGCCCACTATGATTAATTGGCTCCCATTGGAAATTACAGGCTGTGGTCTATCTTGGGTTCGTTATAAAAATCTTTAGTATCAGTGCCCTTGTCCAGATAGTCTTGCTGGTTTGGTAGCCTGTGGCTGTGCTGATGAGGCGTGAACATCTAGCCTGATCCCAAGTCTGTTGGTACTGCATTGTCAGCGAAAAATAGAGTTGGCTATACAGAACACACAGATCTGGGACCAGGTTAGGAAATTCCTACCAGGCCCAGTGGACAGATCTGGGACCAGGCTAGTAAATTCCTACCTGGCCCAGTGGACAGATCTGGGACCAGACTAGTAAATTCCTACCAGGATCAGTGGACAGATCTGGGATCAGGCTAGTAAATTCCTACCAGGATCAGTGGACAGATCTGGGATCAGTCTAGTAAATTCCTACCAGGCCCAGTGGACAGATCTGGGACCAGAGGACAAGTCTGGGACCAGGCTAGTAAATAACTACCAGGCCCAGTAGACAGATCTGGGATCAGTCTAGTAAATTCCTACCAGGCCCAGTGGACAGATCTGGGACCAGAGGACAAGTCTGGGACCAGGCTAGTAAATTCCTACCAGGCCCAGTGGACAGGTCTGGGACCAGTGGACAGGTCTGGGATCAGTCTAGTAAATACCTACCAGGCCCAGTAGACAGATCTGGGATCAGTCTAGTAAATACCTACCAGGCCCAGTGGACAGGTCTGGGACCAGTGGACAGGTCTAGGACCAGGCTAGTAAATACCTACCAGGCCCAGTGGAATAAAGACGTGATGCAGCAGCTCCCCAGAAGAAGGCTCTGTGATGGATGACTTCAGGCGGTCCTGAAAGCAAAATAATATAATTATAATATATGCTATTTAGCAGATGCTTTTCTCCAAAGCAGCTTACAGTCATGCGTACATAGATCCGATGTACAGGTGGTCCTGGGAATGGAAGCCTGCCGTTGCCAGCACCATGCTCTACTAACTGAGCTATAGATACTAAAATGGAGGAAAGTACTGAGCTTCTTTTTTTTTAAGGGAAAACACACATCCAATCTATATTTTTATTACATGATAGGACAGATGTAGGAACAGATAGGGAGATAGACAGAGGGCAGACAGATGTAGGAACAGATTGGTAGATAGACAGAGAGCATAAAATATGTAAGGATGCTGGAACCCCGTCTCCAAGGGGACATGTGTTGTCCAGAGTCGAGAACGTTACCAATACCCCGGCGTATACTGAGGTGAGAACATTGGTAAGAAATTAGCCTTACATACGAAAGATTGATGGAGTGTGACAGAGAGGGACAATAGACAGAAACAAATGCCTCTGTTATTCCACCACATGGTCTCACCAGCAGACAGAAGGAGTACTTGACTTTCTGAAAAATGTCAACAAACTCCTCCTCAGGCGGAGGGCAGGCTTTCAGGGTCAGCAGATCATCTGCACACAAAACACAAAACAATCAACTACTATGATGGTGATTCAGAAATGAGATAACATGTGAGAATAGTACCCAGAACACAATCACAACTTTCTTCCTTTCACCAGACCATTCCTCCTATTCATCACTTCTTGAGGTGCCACTTCACAGTTCCACTGGCCAATGTTACAGTAAGTATACCTCTACACTGTCTTGAAGAGCGTCCTGTTTGTGCTGTGACTTGATTGGGTCCTGCGATTGCTACATACATTTTTTATTTAAATTAATTATATACACTACCGGTCAAAGGTTTTAGAACACCTACTCATTCAAGGGTTTTTCTTTATTTTTACTATTTTCTACATTGTTGAATAATAGTGAAGACATCAAAACTATGAAATAACACATATGGAATCATGTAGTAACCAATAAAGTGTTGAACAAATCAAATAGCCACCCTTTGCCTTGATGACAGCTTTGCACACTCTTGGCATTCTCTCAACCAGCTTCACCTGGAAGGCTTTTCCAACAGTCTTGAAGGAGTTCCCACATATGCTGAGCACTTGTTGCCTGCTTTTCCTTCACTCTGTGGTCCGACTCATCCCAAACCATCTCAATTTGGTTGAGGTCAAATCAAATCAAATCACATTTTATTAGTCACATACACATGTTTAGTAGATGTTATTGCGGGTGAAGCGAAATGCTTGTCAGGGGATTGTGGAGGCCAGGTCATCTGATGCAGCACTCCATCACTCTCCTTCTTGGTAAAATAGCCCTTACACAGCCTGGAGGTGTGTTGGGTCATTGTCCTGTTGAAAAACAAATGATAGTCCCACTAAGCCCAAACCAGATGGGATGGCGTATCGCTACAGAATGCTGTGGTAGCCATGCTGGTTAAGTATGCCTTGAATTCTAAATAAATCACAGAAATTCCACAAATTAATTTTTAAGAAGGCACACCTGTTAATTGAAATGCATTTCAGGTGAGTACCTCATGAAGCTGGTTGAGAGAATGCCAAGAATGTGCAAAGCTGTCATCAAGGAAAAGGGTGGCTATTTGAAGAATCTCAAGTATAACATATATTATGATTTGTTTAACACTATTTTGGTTACTACATGATTCCATATTAGTTATTTCATAGTTGTGAGGTCTTCACTATTATTCAACAATGTAGAAAATAGTAAAAATAAAGAAAAACCCTTGAATGAGTAGGTGTTCTAAAACTTTTGACCGGTAGTGTATGCCCATTGATTATTGAAGAATATAACTTATAAATGCCTCATGAGCTGTACCCCATCAGAACCCAAAATATAAGCTTGTTTTATTTACTCCAATGTTTGTAAACAATGTAATTGTAAACAAACACTGTACAGCCAAAACACATGGTTAAAACTATAATTTTGGTCTCATTTGAGAGTGGATACATTTCTCCAGCCCCATCCAACAGCTGTTTACCACCTAACTCTATCTCTCTTTCTTTATTCTCTCTCTCTCTCTCTCTCTCTCTCTCCCCCTCTCTCTCTCCCCCTCTCTCTCTGTCACGCCCTGACCTATAGACTCTAGTTAATAATAGGTCATTTAGCAGATGCTCTTATCCAGAGCAACTTACAAGAGCAATTAGGGTTAAGAGCCTTGCTCAAGGGCACATCGACAGATTTTTCACCTAGTCGGCTCGGGGATTAGAACCAGCGACCTTTCGGTTACTGGCCCAACGCTCTTACCCACTAAGCTACCTGCCGCCCTAGTTAGTTTGGTCAGGGTGTGAATATATGTGTGGGTTTTTCTATGTGGTGATTATATGTTTCTATGTCTATGTTTGGCCTGGTGTGATTCCCAATCAGAGGCAGCTGTCGCTCGTTGTCTCTGATTGGAGATCATCCTTAGGCAGCCAGTTTTCCTGCCTGTGTTGTGGGATCTTGTTTGTGTTCGGTGTGTTTGGCTTGTTAGTGTTTAGCCTTCCGACGTCACGTTTCGTTGCCTTTTGTTGTTTTGTATGTTTATTCAGTACAATAAACATTTATGCATTTCACGCTGCGCCTTGGTCTGACCCGTTCATCAACGACCGTGACACACTCTATCTCTCTCTCTCTCTCTCTCTCTCTCTCTCTCTCTCTCTCTCTCTCTCTTCAATTTAAGGGCTTTATTGGCATGGGAAACGTATGTTAACCTTGCCAAAGCAAGTGAAGTAGATAGTAAACAAAAGTGAAATAGACAATAAATAGTAACAGTAAACATTACACTCTGACGTTCCAAAAGAATAAAGACATTTCAAATGTCATTATGTATATATACAGTATCTCTCTCTATCTCTCTATCTCTCTCTCTCTCTCTCTCACCATCCTGCTTCTTCTTCTTGCTTGTTCTGCTCTTCCTCTTCTTGGTCTGGTTGAGGATGCTCTGAGCCTCAGCGGCCCGCTGCAGGCGGCCCATGAAGCGCTCCACGTCCTCAAAACAGTGGTTTAGGATCTCCTGAAGGAAGGACACACGGCATCCCAGCAAAACCAATCACATCAATGCAGTGGGCTGGTGAGAGAAGTGTTCTGCAAGCAGCCATGCAAACACACAGACACATACACACGCACACACGTGCACACACACACACACGCGCACACACGCACAGACACACACGCATGCACACACACACACACATTCACACACTCACATGCACACACACACACACAAAGACACACGCAGACACACATTAGCAGACACTCACACACATGCACAAGCACAGTTGCAAACATACTGTATGAACACACACACACAGATACATACCACCTCTCTCTCTGCATGTCCTCGAGATGTGTGCTTTGGCTCACTACTGGCCCCATTCACTGACAAGAAACATAACATAGATGTCAGCTTAAACAACACACACACACGCACGCACGCACACATACAGTACACACACACACACACCTTTGAACACCTTTGCGTTGCCATGGGAAGGAAGTTGACCATCATGGGGCATGACTCTTATCCCTGATGGCTTCCTAGGACGTACTGGGGGTGGTGTCCCAGACATCTGAGAGAGAGAGAGAGAGAGAGAGAGAGAGAGAGAGAGAGAGAGAGAGAGAGAGGAGAGAGAGAGAGAGAGAGAGAAAGAGTGATGGTGATGCCATGAAGAGTTCTTCCTGGCCAAGAGTGTGCAAAGCTGTCATCAAGGCAAAGGGTGGCTATTTGAAGAATCTCAAATATAACATATATTTGGATTTCTTTAACACTTTTCTGGTTACTACATGATTCCATATGTGTTATTTAATATTTTTTATGTCTTCACTATTATTCTACAATGTAAAAAATAGTAAAAATAAAGAAAAACCCTTGAATGAGTAGGTGTGTCCAAACTTTTGACTGGTAGTGTATATATCAATGTTGGTACGCAGACCCACGAACCACTGCGGCCCCTCATGATGAGTTCAGTTTGTTTGCGGCCCCCACCTCCATCAAAGTTGCCCATCCCTGATCTACACTGATCCACTTCCTTCATATCTGTAAATGCTCAACAGGTAAGCACTAGGATTTACATTAGGACAGAGATTTAATAAAGAGGTAGGGACTAGGACTTAGATTAGGACAGAGATTCAATCAAGAGGTAGAGACTAGGACTTAGATTAAGACAGAGATTTAATAAAGAGGTAGAGATTAGGATTTAGATTAGGACAAAGATTCAATCAACAGGTAGAGACTAGGATTTAGATTAGGACAGTGATTAAATCAGGAGGTAGAGACTATGACTTAGATTAGGACAGAGATTAAATCAAGAGGTAGAGACTAGGACTTAGATTAGGACAAAGATTCAATCAGGAGGTAGAGACTAGGACTTCGATTAGGACAGAGATTAAATCAAGAGGTAGAGACTAGGATTTAGATTAGGACAGAGATTCAATCAAGAGGTAGAGACTATGACATAGATTACGACAGAGATTAAATCAGGAGGTAGAGACTAGGAGTTAGATTAGGACAGAGATTAAATCAAGAGGTAGAGACTAGGACATAGATTAGGACAGAGATTAAATCAGGAGGTAGAGACTAGGACTTAGATTAGGACAGAGATTAAATCAAGAGGTAGAGACTAGGATTTAGATTAGGACAGAGATTCAATCAAGAGGTAGGGACTAGGACTAGGATTTAGATTAGGGCATAGATTTAATAAAGAGTTAGGGACTAGGACTTAGATTAGGACAGCGATTAAATCAAGAGATAGAAACTAGGACAAGGACTTAGATTAGGACAGAGATTTAATAAAGAGGTAGGGACTAGGATTTAGATTAGGACAGAGATTCAATCAAGAGGTAGGGACTAGGACTAGGACTTAGATTAGGACAGAGATTTAATAAAGAGGTAGGGACTAGGACTTAGATTAGGACAGAGATTCAATCAAGAGGTAGGGACTAGGACTTAGATTAGGACATATATTCAATCAAGAGGTAGGGACTAGGACTAGGATTTAGATTAGGACAGAGATTTAATAAAGAGTTAGGGACTAGGATTTAGATTAGGACAGCGATTAAATCAAGAGGTAGAGACTAGGACTAGGACTTAGATTAGGACAGAGATTTAATAAAGAGGTAGGGACTAGGATTTAGATTAGGACAGAGATTCAATCAAGAGGTAGGGACTAGGACTAGGACTTAGATTAGGACAGAGATTTAATAAAGAGGTAGGGACTAGGACTTAGATTAGGACAGAGATTCAATCAAGAGGTAGGGACTAGGATTTAGATTACGACAGCATTTCAGAGATTCAGTCAAGAGCTAGGGACTAGGACTAGGATTTAGATTAGGACAGAGATTTAATAAAGAGTTAGGGACTAGGACTTAGATTAGGACAGCGATTAAATCAAGAGGTAGAGACTAGGACTCAGATTAGGACAGAGATTCAGTCAAGAGGTAGGTATGAGGATTTAGATTAGGACAGAGATTAAATCAAGAGGTAGGTACAAGGATTTAGATTAGGACAGAGATTCAGTCAAGAGATAGGAACTAGGATTTATATTAAAACAGAGATTAAATTAAGAGGTAGGGACTAGGACTAGGACAGATTAGGACAGAGATTTAATAAACAGGTAGGGACTAGGACTTAGATTAGGAAAGCGATTAAATCAAGAGGTAGAGACTAGGATTCAGATTAGGACAGAGATTCAATCAAGAGGTAGGGACTAGGATTTAGATTAGGACAGAGATTCAATCCGAAGCACGTTGTAGCGCATTTGACATTAACCTTTGGTTTCTAGAATTCCCAAATGTATGTAAACGTCAGCACTGTGACCGTGTGATAACTAAACGGGAGAGGGTAGCTTTGACATAGACTACCACCATGTGGTTCAGAAGGCAGTACAACCATAGACTACCACCATATGATTCAGAAGACAGTACAACCATAGACTACCACCATGTGGTTCAGAAGGCAGTACAACCATAGACTACCACCATGTGATTCAGAAGACAGTACAACCATAGACTACCACCATATGATTCAGAAGGCAGTACAACCATAGACTACCACCATATGATTCAGAAGGCAGTACAACCATATACTACCACCATATGATTCAGAAGGCAGTACAACCATAGACTACCACCATATGATTCAGAAGGCAGTACAACCATATACTACCACCATATGATTCAGAAGGCAGTACAACCATAGACTACCACCATGTGGTTCAGAAGGCAGTACAACCATAGACTACCACCATATGATTCAGAAGGCAGTACAACCATAGACTACCACCATGTGGTTCAGAAGGCAGTACAACCATAGACTACCACCATATGATTCAGAAGGCAGTACAACCATAGACTACCACCATGTGATTCAGAAGGCAGTACAACCATAGACTACCACCATGTGATTCAGAAGACAGTACAACCATAGACTACCACCATGTGATTCAGAAGGCAGTACAACCATAGACTACCACCATATGATTCAGAAGGCAGTACAACCATAGACTACCACCATGTGATTCAGAAGGCAGTACAACCATAGACTACCACCATGTGATTCAGAAGGTACAGTACACCCATGAGGGGGGATCTCACCAACAGGGGGCAGCAGTGTAACTGCCCTGTCAGATCTCACCAACAGGGGGCAGCAGTGTAACTGCCCAGTCAGATCTCACTAATAATAATAATAAATAATAATATGCCATTTAGCAGACGCTTTTATCCAAAGCGACTTACAGTCATGCGAGCATACATTTTACAGGGGGCAGCAGTGTAACCGCCCCATCAGAATTCAAAAGGTAGAAAAGTTAAGAAGTGGAACACAGTCAGTCCTCTAATGACAACACAACACATAACAGAGACATACATAATGCATTAGACATTACAAACATATTGCTGAAAGTCAGGTCAAAAGTGCATCAGCACAAAAGTAAAACAAAAAATGCCTTGTTGATTAACCCTCCCGTTGTCCTAGGGTCAAAATGACCCGCCACTGTGTTGAACCAACTTTATTTATTTTTTATTTTTGGGGGATAATTTGTGAGAAGGAGGCAGTGAGACTTTAAAGAAAGTATCACTGCCTCCTTCTCACAAATGATCCAAAAAATATAAAAATTAAATAAAGTTGGTTCAACACAGTGGCGGGTCATTTTGACCCTAGGACAACGGGAGGGTTAAGTGCCTTGCTCAAGGGCACAACGGCAGTATATGGCACATGAGATAGTAGCGGTTCTCTCTTGGCAGAAGGGAATAGGTTTTCGTCTCACATCTCTCACTAATCTCCTGTAAACCCTTCCACATACAGTACATCTTGACAACATAAATGACCCGTTGACCTTTGAACTAATGTGAGGTGTTCATGTATTGTATTCTTTGTTTTCAGTTGATACAAACATGCTGTGTGAAATGAAATATGTGTCACTCCAGTCCTGAAGAGCTACTGGGTGCATGTGTTTGCTCCAGACCAGTAGTAATACACTTAATTTAACTCATTGTGGTCCATATTGAAGGCCATGTTTCATTAATTGAAAGCGGTGGAAGATGGAGATCCCTGTATCACCTGTATTGTAAAAAACTAAAACTAAAAAACAGGAAGAGGGCAGAGGTGTGCGTCACATTGTCACATTCCCTCAGCTGACAGTTAGAATGCTGTTTAGCATTCCAATGTGTATGTGTGTGTGTGTGTGTGTGTGTTTGTGTGTGTGTGTGGTGTGTGTGTGTGTGTGTGTGTGTGTGTGTGTGTGTGTGTGTGTGTGTGTGTGTGTGTGGTGTGTGTGTGTGTGTGTGTGTGTGTGTGTGTGTGTGTGTGAGAGTGTGTGCTTGTGTGTGTGTGTGTGTGTGTGTTGTGTGTGTGTGTGTGTGTGTGTGTGGTGTGTGTGTGTGTGTGTGTGTGTGTGTGTGTGTGTGTGTGTGTGTGTGTGTGCGTGCGTGTCTGTGTGTGTGTCT